TCTCTTCTTCCCCGGTCCCACTCCCCCACACCCCTCGCCGTGTTCCCCATCCATTCAGAGGATCTTGTCTCAAACCTCTTCTCTTGGGTACTATGCATATATGCATATCTTTTTTGTTCTTTCCTATTTCCTAGACTCTCTATCTGTGGAAGTGCAGACTGGCACTATCCTGATCCATGTCTAAAATCCATATATGAGTGAGTACATACCATGTTTGTCTTTTTGCGACTGGGTTACCTCACTCAGGATGGTTTCTTCCAGTGCTATCCATTTACCTGCGAATTTCAAGATTCCATTGTTTTTTTTTTTCTGCTGAGTAATACTCCATTGTGTAAATGTACCATATTTTCTCTATCCACTCTTCAGTTGAGGGGCATCTAGGTTGCTTCCAGGTTCTAGCTATTACAAATAATACCGCTATGAACATAGTGGAGCAGATGCCCTTATTGTATGAACTTGCCTCATTTGGATATATGCCTAAGAGTGGAATTGCTGGGTCTAGTGGTAGATTAATTCCCATTTTCCTGAGGAATCTCCATACTGATTTCCAAAGAGGCTGTACGAGTCGGCATTCCCACCAGTAGTGGAGGAGTGTTCCTCTCTCTCCACATCCTCTCCAGCATAAATTGTCTTCGGTGTTTTTGATTTTAGCCATTCTGACAGGAGTAAGATAGTATCTCAGAGTTGTTTTGATTTGTATTTCCCTGATGGCTAAGGATGTTGAGCACTTTCTTAAGTGTCTCTCGGCCATGTTAGCCTCCTCTATTGAGAATTCTCTATTTAGCTCTGTACCCCACCTTTTAATTGGATCCTTTGGTGTTTTGGAGACTTGTTTCTTGAGTTCTTTGTAAATTTTGGAGATTAGCCCTCTGTCAGATGTAGGGTTAGTGAATATCTTTTCCCATTCTGTGGCCTGCCTTTTTGTCTTTTTGACTGTGTCCTTTGCCTTACAGAAGCTTTTTAGTTTCAGAAGGTCCCATTTGTTAATTGTCGATCTCAGTGCCTGTGCCACTGGTGTTATGTTTAGGAAGTGGTCTCCTGTACCAACTCGTTGAAGAGTATCTCCCACTTTCTCTTCTAAAAGTTTCAGTGTGGCTGGATTTATGTTGAGATCTTTGATCCATTTGGACTTAAGTTTTGTACAAGGAGATAAACATGGATCTATCTGCAGTCTTCTGCATACCAGTACCCAGTTATGCCAGCACCATTTATTGAAGATGCTTTCTTTTTTCCATTGTACAGTTTTAGCTTCTTTGTCAAAAATCAAGTGTTCATAGGTGTGTGGGTTAAAATTAGAGCTTTCGATTTGGTTCCATTGGTCTACCTGCCTATTTTTGTGCCAATACCAAGCTGTTTTCAGGACTATAGCTCTATAATAGAGCTTGAAGTCAGGTATGGTGATGCCTCCTGAAGTTCCTTTATTGTATAGGGATGTTTTAGCTATCCTGGGCCTTTCGTTTTACCACATAAAGCTGATTAATGTTTTTTCCAGGTCCTTGAAGAATTGTGATGGAATTTTGATAGGGATTGCATTGAATCTGTAGACTGCTTTTGGCAAGATTGCCATATTTATTATGTTGATCCTACTGATCCAAGAGCATGGGAGATCTTTCCATTTTCTGGTATCTTCTTTGATTTCTTTCTTTAAAGACACAAAGTTCTTGATATACAGGTCTTTAATTTCCTTGATTAACATTATCCCCAGATATTTGATGCTGTTTTTGGCTATTGTAAAGGGTGATGTTTCTCTGATTTCTTTCTCATTCACTTCATCATCTGTATATAATAGGGCCACTGATTTTTTTGAGTTTACCTTGTATCCTGCCACATTGCTGAAGGTGTTTATCAGCTCTAGGAGTAACCTTGCGGAGTTTTTTGGGTCACTTATGTAAACTATCATATCATCTGCAAATAGTGAAAGTTTGACTTCTTCTTTCCCTATTTGTATCCCCTTTATCTCCTTTTGTTGTCTTATTGCTGTAGCTAGAACTTCAAGTACAATATTGAAGAGCTATGGAGACAGTGGACAGCCTTGTCTTGTTCCTGATTTTAGAGGAATTGCTTTGAGTTTCTCTCCATTTAGTTTGATGTTAGCTGTTGGTTTACTGTATATTGCTTTTATTATATTCAGGTACATTCCTGTTATCCCTGATCTCTCTAGGACCCTTTATCATGAAGGGGTGCTGGATTTTGTCAAAGGCTTTTTCAGCATCTAGTGAGATGATCATGTGGTTTTTCTTTCGCAGATTGTTAATATGGTGGATTACATTGATAGATTTTCTAAAGTTGAACCATCCCTGCATTCCTGGGATGAAGCCTACTTGATCATGGTGGATGATTTTTCTGATGTGTTCTTGAATCCGGTTTACGAGTATTTTATTGAGTATTTTTGCATCGATGTTCATGAGGGAAATTGGTCTATAGTTCTCTTTCTTAGTTGTGTCTTTGTGTGGCTTGGGTATCAAGGTAATTGTAGCCTCATAGAAAGAGTTTGGCAGTGAGCCTCCTGCTTTTATTGTGTGGAATACTTTGAGGAGTATTGGAATTAGCTCTTCTTTGAATTTCTGGTAGAATTCTGCACTGAAGCCATCTGGGCCTGGGCTTTTTTTATTTGGGAGACTTTTGATGACTGCTTCTATTTAATTAGGGGTTATAGGTCTGTTTAGATTGTTTATCTGTTCTTGATTTAGGTTTGGCAACTGATATCTATCCAGGAAATTGTCCATTTCCTTTAAATTTTCAAATTTTGTGGAGTACAGATTTTCAATTATGCCCTGATGATTCTCTGGATTTCCTCAGAGTCTGTTGTTATGTCCCCTTTTTCATCCCTGATTTTGTTAATTAGCATGCTCTCCCTCTGTCTTTTAGTTAGTTTGGACAGAGGTTTATCTATTTTGTTGATTTTCTCAAAGAACCAAATCTTTGTTTCATTGATTCTTCTCAGTGTTTTTCTGGTTTCTACTTGATTGATTTCAGCCTGAATTACTTGCTACCCAATGCAAAAATCAGTTTCCATGACTAAGGCTGACAGCAGCCTAGATCTACGAGTTTCAAAATGAATATTTAAAAGATTGTTTGGCAATATAAGTGGATTTAAATTGGTGGTCAGAAAGTATTGCTGTTGCAGTTTTATTTCCAGAATTGTGAAAGAAAAATCATTTTTCACTTTTATTGGGCCTTGGTATTATCTTGAATGATAGTGTTTTTACTGTTAAACCCTCATTTCATTTATTAATCATAATTTGACACTTGTGCCTATATTGATTATAGTAATTTTATTTTTCTATTCTTTTATCATGTCTTTGTTTATCCTAGGAAGAATATTATACTGTTCTGATTACTCTATCTTTATAATTTGCTTTGATATTTTGTCTAATGGAAAATTCCCTTCTATTTTGTTTTCAATATAGCTTTGGCTGATTTTGAATATTTTTTTCTCTTCCATAGACTTTGCAATTTGGTGTTGCATTATAATTTGTGTTTAGATTTTTGATTGAAATTGAGCTTGATTTTTCAAATAATTTGATGTAATTAGTGTAAGAGAAAAAATGGGTGTAGATGTATCTCCTGATAATATCAGTCCATAGGTTTGAAGGAGACTACCTGTCCAAGCAGAGTGAAAATTAAGTCACTGCTGTGTCAGTAAGAAAGGCTGGATATCCTAATGAAAAGAGTTTGCTTTGTTTTGTTCTCTGGAAGGAAATATATATTTTCCACTGAGATTTCTTTGCATACGTTTATCTTTTAAATTTATTTAGTAATTTCATTGTTTCATTGAGAGTTACATAACTTATGTTTTAATTAAAACTTTTAAAACATCTTTTAAAATGGTTTCTTACTACATTGAGAATAAAGCTAGAAGCTTGTATGTCCTTTACTAATTTTCTACCATGACCCCAGCTCTTTTATCAGAAAATTTAAATATTCCACTCTGGGTTATTGATAGTTATTTTAACAGTTGACATTCATAATATGATATTTTCCTACTGAAACTTGTATAGCATTATGTTTTTATGTTGATCCTGTAACTGCTTTGTTGAACAGTTCCAACTCCTTTGTATTGATAAATTTTATTACCTGAAATTTCACATGTGTATATAATGTATTTTGATTACCCTCCCCCACACTTTATTAGAACCCACCCATACCACTTCCCCACAACTATCTTAGTTGGTGTTTCAATGTCTTCTATATGGCATTTTGCCAAATACTGTCTTTTTTCCTACATTTTATTTTCTGTAATTACTTATTTCAAATAGATTTATTTTAATTTTAATTTGTGTGTATGTGTGTGTATGTTCATGTGCACAGGTACTCAAGGAAGCCACATGGGTGCAGTGCATCAGATTACTTGGAGCAGAAGCAATAGCTGTTTGGGAGATACCAAGATAGGTGTTAGGAATTTAACTGGCATCCCCTGAAAGAGCAGTTAGTGCTGTTAACCACTGAGCAATCTGTACAGCCCCAGCCATTTCTGAAATTCTTATTTTGTTTTCTTAATAGGTTTATTTTGGAGTGCTGGGAACTCTATTATTATGCCCAATCCATAATTTCTATGCACCATCCTATGACATGATGTACTTTTATAATTAGGGTTAAACCTAGAACCTGATATTTAGTAAGGAATGAATTCTTTCACACAGCTTCCATGCAAGCACAAATAATTATTTTTTATTTATGGTCTGGAAAGTTTATTTGAGAGCTACCTTTTATTGAATTCTTTTGAAAATTTCATGAAAATGACAATAACCCGTTAGTCTGTAAAGGCAGTGGTTTTACTGGTAATGTTGAATCATTTTATACTTACATGATAATTTTCTCTTAATCACATATAAATTCATGTTACTCTTCTGATAATAAATATTCAATTTGCTAGCACATTTTTAAATCCTGAATTGATATCAGTCTATAGTTTCTTCTCTTGTGCAGTATCAAGCAGTTGTAAGTCATGACTCTCCTACAGTTCTGCATTTTTCTTGCCATAGAGATGAACCTTACCCATGGGAGATGACAACTACACAAGGATCACAGAATTCATTTTCATCGGCTTGAGATACCACCATAAACTACAGGTCTTCCTGTTCTTGCTCTTTCTGATTTTTTACCTGGTTACTATGACAGGAAACTTGGGTATGATCATTCTTATTCGTGTAGATTCTCGTCTTCATACTCCCATGTACTTTTTTCTTAGCTACCTGTCATTTGTGGACATCTGTTTCTCATCTGTTGTGGGCCCCAAGATGCTCACAGATTTCTTTGCAGAACGGAAGGCTATCTCTTTTCTGGGCTGTGCTTTGCAGCAATGGTTCTTTGGTTTCTTTGTTGCCATTGAGTGCCTTCTCTTGGCATCCATGGCCTATGACCGCTATGTGGCCATCTGTAACCCACTGTTGTATACAGTGGCCATGTCCCAGAGACTCTGCATACAGCTGGTGGTCGGACCCTATGCTGTTGGTTTCTTCAACACAATGACTCATACTACAGCTGCTTTCCGACTCCCCTTTTGTGGCTCCAACATTATCAATCATTTCTTCTGTGACATGTCTCCTATCCTTTCCCTCATATGTGCTGACATAAGGATGAATAAACTGTTGGTTTTCATTGTGGCGGGAGCTGTATTGGTTGTCAGCAGCACTACCATCTTAATCTCCTATTTTCACATCCTCTTGACCATCCTGAGGATCCGCTCAGCTGAAGGTAGGAGAAAAGCCTTCTCCACCTGTTCTTCCCATGTCACAGCAGTTTCCATTTTGTACGGGACTCTCTTCTTTATCTATGTGATACCAAGTGCCATTTCTTCCCTTGACCTCAATAAGGTGGTCTCAGTGTTCTACACAGCAGTGATTCCCATGCTCAACCCACTCATCTACAGCCTGAGGAATAAGGAGGTGAAAGCGGCAATGGGCAGGACAGTCACTAAGGCCAAATTTTTCCTCAAAAACTAAATCATCATAGAGAACATAAAAGATATTCAAGACAAGGCATGACAACACAATAGTTTGCAGAATTTGTAATTGACGTCTTTTAATCCTTCCATATGGCTTTTATTTCGCTACATTTTATTTTACTAAATAAAGCAATTAGGGTTTATTTCATTATGTAACTATAAATGTTAATACTACTTAAGCACATTTTATCCCTTATATATATTTATTATTTTAAGTAAGGTAAAATCCTACAAATACAAGATGTGAGTAGTACATTGCAGCATGTATGTCCCTTGTTTCTTAATGTAAAATTGAAAATAATGAGTAGTAGGAAGTAATTTCAAATAAATATTTTCCTTATTTATTTAATTTTCTCTATGTATAATCTGATCTTCATGCTAGATTTTTTGATTCCTTATCAAAGCAAAACAAACAATAGTTGATTGAAATGTACAGACAACTTTGTTAACTATCTTGTTGAAGAGTTCAAACACAGAGAAGCATCAAGATTTATCAGAAGTCTTAGATGTTTGCATGTAATGCTTGAAGAATAATAAATGAGTTATTCCAAAAAGATAAAATTATTCTCGAAAGTGACTCTTGGAAATAAATTAGAATCTATGATTATCTTTAATTAGTGTATGCTATAAAATACACAGTTAATAATTATGTCAATTATATGCCTATTAACAAAGGTCTATAGCTGATTAGATAAAAGCAGATGAAGTATGCTGTACTGATTCAAGGAACACCTAGGTTGTAGATTTATCTCAAACTCTGCCCACAAGGATTTCACAGTGAGGTTGTTGGTTCCCAATATGCCTGGTAAGAAGACCCTGATGGTAAACAGACTAATGATCTTATGGTCCTTTCTTCTTTCTTCCTCCTCTTCCTCCTCCTTCTCCTCCTCCTCCTCCTTCTCCTCCTCCTCCTCCTCCTCCTCTTCTTCCTCTTCCTCTTCTTCTTCTTCTTCTTCTTCTTCTTCTTCTTCTTCTTCTTCTTCTTCTTCTTCTTCTTCTTCTTCTTCTTCTTCTTCTTCTTCTAGAAGGTGAACCTCTTTGAGTGTCATAGTCACTCTAAATACTGCACTTCACTATGATTGAGAATAGACTGGTTTGGGTTGAGACTTGATCAGACTTTCCCAGAAACTGAGGATGCAGACAGGTCAGAGGACACATAAATAGGGCTTGTCATGGCTGCATGCTGCAATTATCATGGAGATAAAGCCTGGATAATTCCCTCATGAATTTTAGCCAGGCATTGATGGCACACGCCTTTAATCCCAGAACTCAGCAGGCATAGGCAGGTGGATCTCGGTGAGTTCAAGGCCAGCCTGGTTTACAGAGTGAGTTCTAGGACAGCCTCTAAAGTCACAGAGAAACCCTGTCTCGAAAAAAACAAAACAAAACAAAAAAACAAAAAGAAAAACAAAAACAAAAGGCGTACATTATGAGTCAGGTTGCTAAGCAAACAGGAACACTGTCAATAGGAGAATATAAAAGGGATGCATAAGGTAATTCACAAAGTTCTTCCATTTAGCTTATACTATTTATTTTAAGTAATTAGATGGAGGGTGGGCTGAGTAATCTCAGGTATGAGTGTGTTTGCCACTTTAAGTAAAAAGTGTAGCTGCTTTTTCTTCCTATAAACAAAAAGTTGTCAAAGCTTTGAGTTGTGCTTGGCAGAAAAGGTTCCTTGACTCTCTGTTTTTTTCCCCAAAATCCTGTCATCCATGGTACACACACCTTCTGTGTCATTGGTACATCACACTGACACTGTGTCACAGTTGTGGGCAAACTTTCAACTCTGTGCTCACTGTCTTCCCACTTTCGTCATGTCCTAACTGGTCTACCAATAAATAGTCTGGTACACCATCCATTGGATTTTTATATAAGATTATTTTATTAAGATGTCTTTAACTGCATAAAATGATAAAATAGCAAGAGAGATTCTTATATTTTCACCATCTATTTTGTTATCCTTCAGTTGTGTTGTTAACCTGGTATTCTAACTGTCTAATTTTTTTTAACTGAGAATTCTATCTGCTGTAGAAAGGTACACTTTCTTTTTCTTTCAATTTTATAAAAATCCATTCTGTATGAGGATTGCATTTATTCATTAGGAACAGCAAGGTTTTCTGGCTTTTTAAATCATGGTTATTTTGAATTAGGATGTCTCTGATAGCAATTCCTGCCAACAGTAGGGTTGCATATAGAGAAGAGGATCTGAATATACTTCAGACTAGTAAATATATTAAAAATAGCTTTTAGAGCTGGGAAGATGGCTCAGCATGTAGAGTGGAGGACCCGAGTTCAGCCCTCCAGAACCCATGTAAAATTGATGCAGATTTTTACTTCTGTGAAACCAGTTTTCTTGTGAGGTAGAAACAGGAGAGCTTCAAGAAGCTAGTAGGTCAGCTAGTCTGCTAGTAACAATGGTAAACAATATGAGATCCTATCTCAAACAAGATGGAAAATGCAAACTGATAAATAAGGTTCTACTCTGATATTCACACATGTATGTGAGCTTGAAAACACACACACACACACACACACACACACACACACACACACACACACACAATGTAGGTGGAGCTCTTAGAAGGGCTTCCAGGAAAAGAAAATGCACCTGGAATGTTCCCATGGTTCCAGGCTACTCAGTGATGTTTCTGAGTCACAGGCAAAGGAATAGCTATTTCGGATTTGCATTTCTGCCATGTTTGGCACCATTTGTATTCTTTCCTTGAGTAAAAAAAAATCAATTTACATCTAGCAATCTGCTTTCCTCTCTCAGGAGACTGTGCTCCATTGAGGCTGAAGCACACTCTTCCTCAGGCATCTGTCATTAAATATCTGCACCAATTGAGGGTTCTAGTTAGTACACTCTTGTCTGTTTTGAGTAGTGGCAATTGAATTTCTAATCACAGAGTTTGTTGCGAATTACATTCATGTTTTGAGTATATTTTTCTATGATTTAAATGAGAAAATATACAAAGCTATTTAAGTAAAAAAAACCTCAAATAAAATAAATAAACAATAAAAAAACAAAAGCTTCTTTGCTAACCCGACTAAGTGACAATCGTATTCCCACACTGACTACTGGTGTAATGAGGCTCAGCTCAGGACTCACGTTCACCTCGGTGACATGGTATACCTTTGGAATCATTTGGGGCATGGATGGTTCAACCAATAAGGCTTTTGGGTTACTCCGAGTCTCTACTATGACTGATCCCACGATGCTGTATCAGTCAGGGCATTTTGATCCTGGCATCCCTGTAAAGGTGTGAAGGTGAGGGACACACAGAAGAAACAAACAAGGTTTTAGATTTTGTTCATTTCCAAATATATGGGTGTGGCAGACACTGCCCTTATGGGCTGTACCAATGTGATAAGTTTATATAGGCAAAGAATGACTAGGAAAGAAAGAAGCCAATTGTACTAGATTCAACTCTGTAGTATAAATATCTGCAGAAGAATTCCAACTTCCATTATTATAATTGTCACTTAAAATGTCAATTTTTAGCTATAAATCTAAGTGCCTGAAGCCAAGATACATGACTATATTTTCCAATATCCTTTAAAGTTTAGGATATTACAATGTGATCGATACTAACCAATGACAAATCTTTAGTGGAAGATTAATGGCATTTTTTTCTCGTCTCCTTTGGTTGTTGCTATGTGATCAAGTACTAACCAATGATACACCAGTGGAAGATTTGTGAATGCCTCTGGGAAATACTAGATTTTCACGTTAGTATTTATGCACCGGACATATTTAGATTATCCAGAGTTCGGACTATTGGCTTGGACCTTGCATGATCATTTTGGATTATGGGATCCTGGTCCTCTACCTCTTACAAGTTTCCTGCACCCCATATATGATGCTCCTTTAGCTTTAGGTTAATAAATATTCTTTCAAAATGACTTTATATTTTGAATTTTTTAACAACTTAGTTTTAGACACTAGTTGTATTTTAGAATATGAAAGTCAAACTTTGCTTATAACAGGGTATTTGTGACATGAGCCATTTCACAGAAGTAATGAGGAGCTCTCTCTTTTGTGCCTCCCTGTAACTCTTAAGTAATCACCTGCTGGGAAATATAAGATGTGTTCAATAAAGGCCTTTCAATGTTTCTTGTGAAATAGACATTTCTTCCTATGCTATTGCTGCTCTGGCCATTAGATGGCAGCATCAGCACAGAAACAATATATAAAGAGGCCTGACCATGTTTCTATTTGTTCTTGTAGCATTAGGGAGATGACAGGCTTGTAGAAATCTCCCAAACCCTTCGAATGGATTTGTGGGGGCGGAGAGATCAAGGGAAGTTTATCATGTGCCTGTGTGCATTGATTCCATAGGGAAAAGCCAGCACTCTAATTGGCTTAAAGAATTTTATTGTCATATAAACATTTAATCCCCACTGATGGGTTTTGACATTCATACCTTTTGATTATAGGACTAATTTATAAAGGATAAAGGGTTTCCTGTGGCATACAAAGGAGCTTGGTTATGTACATCTTAGAGACACACAACTTAGCTGTGACTCATCAGACATCCTTACATGCCTGCTGTCACCAGAGCAGTAACAGACTAAACAACTCAATTATCTTCCCTAGTTGGTCCTTTACTACTTCTAAAGTACACACAAAAAATGTTTGTTGTTGCTTTCATTGCTTTTCCTATAGTTGAATACCAGAATAGTTGTTTTGTTTTTCTAGCTTTTCAATTTTATTTTCATTGTTCAGAAACTTTAAAATGCCCTAAAAGAAGTCTTCTTTTTTGTTGGGCAATGCTCATTTAGTATTAATGGAGGTTGTAGGCCTTCATCCCTTGGTGGCCCTCTTGTACTTGGTAGTTCTCACTTTTCTTTAATAAATCTATATTCATTATGCTAAGTACATATTGTAAAATTTAAAATGCTGATAAATGTTGAACTCTTAAAATATAGTTTCAGCATGAGAATATTGAAAAAAGAAACTATAAGAGGTGGTGTTGTAATACTTGCAAAATAATGTTG